AAAAATGGAGAAAATGTAGTACAGACTTGCGCCTTCTTAGATAGTGGGTCAGATGCCTGGCTTATTACAGGAGATCTAGCTAGAAGGTTGAATTTGGAAGGAGAGCCTAAGACAATTTCATTGAGAACGTTGGACAACTAGTCCACAATTTAGTGTAAAGAGATCCAACTAGAGGTTTCCCCCTTAGACTCGTCTTCGTCATTTAGAATTCCAAACGTATGGACAGTCGAGAGATTACCTATGTTGCGCAGGACGGTACCAACGACGTCTCAAATGACATCCTGGACGCATTTTAAAGACATACGTTTTCCGAGAGTAGAGGATGAGAATGTCGAACTGTTGATCGAGTGCAACGTACCGAGTGTACACGAAATGAAAGAGGTAAGAACTGGAAAGCTGAATGAACCATTCGCCGTGAAGACTCTGTTAGGTTTGACGCTGTTCGGTTCCTATGGAGAACCCTGTAAAAGCAATCGTGTACTCAATCACCTCTCAGCTAAAGAGGAATTAGAGAAAAAGTTTAAACAATTGTATTCAACTGAATCCAAAGACCTACTTAGCCGTACTTCATCGATGTCTGTGGAAGATCATATAGCATTATCAGAATCCGCATATGGTGTCGCGGAGTATACTTGTTCCGAAAATGTCTCTCGTCAAGTTCATTGTTCGTTTTTATTAGCTGAGTATGAGGTTGTTAAGCCAAAAACCGAAGCACCATCTGCTAATAAATCCAAATCAACTCTAAGAAAGCTTAAGGAAAAGAATGGCATCAAACTGAAAGTGAAGACTACGAAAAGGCCGAAGCAGGTAGAACATATTCGCCGTGGTATCGAGGATGGTGTTGAGAAATGCGCCATTATACCAGTCGCGAACAAGAGTAAGGTTGCATCTGGTAGTTCTATAGGAGCCAATGCTATTCTTAGACAGATCAAGTGTAGTTGGAACCAGAATAAGACAGTAAATGCCCTTTTAGAGAGAGGTTGTGAATGGCGCTTTAAACTTCCGAGGGCTAGTCAACGAGAAAGTGTATGGGGACGCATCATAAAGTAGATAAGAAGAATTCTGCGATCACTATTGTTTCAGAAGTTATTGATGGATGAGTCTTCGAGAGACTTAGTGTTAGTAGACAATGTTTGCTCACCGAGAAGTCTATGGTCCAAAGATATTGTCGAACAAGTAAGCTATGCACTGACGGACAAGTTCGTACGGCAAAATTGAGAACCGCAAATGAAGAAACTGTTCGGAGCGTACGGCGCTTATGTCTACTAGGAGGAGCCGGCTGTCTGACGGCGACAACGACGACCCTGGACAACGGACGTGGTGTGCGTTTCGCGGGGAGTGTAAAATGCGATCGATATTAGAACTCACCAATAATAAGGGAAACGCCCACCACCACATTAACTCTTTTCGACCTTGTACGACTGTTTCTCTTTGTTAACCAATTACAATTTGATGTTCATTGTAAAACAATATTTGCTTGTTGACTCATTTTTCGTATTCTCTGGCTACTGTTCGGTATGTTTTTTGTCTCTGTTTTTCCCTGTAATGATAGACCGTACTGACTGTTTGTACACTAACGATGTTAATTTATGTTTTAGAAACAGATTAAGTTTATCTAGCCAAATAGCTTGCTTGTTCTGACTTTGGCGAAACCAAGACTCTGTATTCGACAGTCTAGATATTAGCTCAGAGTTTAGTCTGTAGGAAATTGCTTCCTACAATTTTGGTTAATCTAATGACCTACTGTTTCAGATTGCTTCGGTTCCACTTGGATGATCGGATATTATCAACAGTCGTCTGTTCATTGAGTCGACTGACCACTGGACAGAGCTGCAGTAAACAAGTGTGCGGTTGAACAGTGATTGAAATTGTGTTACATTGTGCACACTCACATACAGATAGAGTTCGATTAGGCCGAGTGACTACAGACTGCATTCCTCAGCGTTTCTCTAATAATATGATTATTTTTTGTTCTGTAGGTGTGGACGGCTCCAAACCCAATATAGTTTTCATCGATGACGAAGATGATAAATTCAACTTTGAGCATGCCAGAAATTTAGATTCTTCAAACTCACAACTGCGTCCTGAAAACCATAATATTGACAACCCCAATCCTGCAAATTGTACACCTGAGCGCTATCTCGAAATGAGAAACCGAAATGTTGGTCAACACTGGTATCCAGGAGTTCCTCGTCCAGACATTGGACAGTACTATTGGTACTATTGAAACATTGAACCGAGATGGATCTACATTTGACTCAGAACAATTCTCATATCTCAGTATCAACGATTTCTCCAAATTCCTCTTCACATCATCACAATTCACATACACCATATCATCTCCAGTTGTACTATTCTACTCATTTGTCTAACCATTAAATATACTTAATCCCACATCAACGATTTCCTATCGTCTTCCATCATCTATGACCCAATCGTGCTGAGTATGTGAGGCTTTCAACTGTATCTTGCCTTAGTTCTGTGTTTGCTGTGATAACGATTCTCTGAACGTCATGTTCATTAGATGACACCTACACAATGTCGTCCCGATTGTTTGGACGAATTATTAAGCTCCTGTTATACACTGTTAAACTCGGCGTATCTTGTATACCTTTAGCTTATATGTATAAGTTTTCCCACATGTTACCATATTCATTTTATATTTCACCAGTATTTTGTATAAGCTCACGGACGAGCTTGAAGCCAGATACACAGTAAATGGTAATAGACAAATCAGTTTCATTCCAATGATATATAAGCAGATACCTTCAAACGGTTGTAATTACTCCATTCAGTCTGCTGTTCTTAGTGCAACACAGATATTTCGCACATATCTTTGTTGGAAGTGTGGAGTTATTATGGCAACTATCCTACAACCAATTTCGATTAGGGTCAATTTCGCTTGAGCTTTTTATTAACTTGCTTAACTGACAACGTTATTCGAATAGTAACAATTCTCATATTTCTTTGTACCATTATGATCACTACCATATCTGTATAATTGAGTACGCTTGATCACATGACAGACTCTAGCGACAATCCCAATAGCTTGAATATCGCACGATGATCCATTCTCTTCCCCATGTATGTGTATACGCGAATGCTATTATTAGGCTCTGTCTAGCGTTGCTGTGCTCTGATTCGATTTGACTGTAAATTTGCCTCTGTATTCGCTCGCACACACGCGTTCGCCTCCTTGGTTCAATTTCGCTCGATGTGCTTATTGCTCTGATATACGTGCTATCCGCTGATAATCTGTAGTTGCCGCTTCTTATTGCATTATGATTTCAAACATTGTTGGAATGTGTATGATAACGGTTACAAAGGTGATGGATTAACCAGGCAAATCTACCACAGTATGATCACAGATGAACAAACCGAATCACAGTCAACCGAACATTTTCATTTCTCTGAACTTGGTATTCAGTTACCTTGATAATCAACTCTCAATTACTGATGAAGTTTGAATTGTTGATATTTTCTTTGTGTACTGTACGTTGCTGTGATCTTAGTAATCAATCGTTGTCCAGCGGTTCCGTTACATTTCTGACGAGTACTTGCATTCAAACGACCCGTTTTGGTCTTTTGCTCTTACTAGCTCATAGATTGAACAAATGATGTGACTCGTCTCGTCAGTAGTCGACTATATTATGTTGTAGGAATTTTTCATTTCCGATTTTTTCTACAAACTTTTCTCCACACTATCGCTATGTCAATCTGTTTGTGTTCATTGAATGAGGAAGTGTTTGTTTATTTTATGTCGTGCGAGCGAAGTAGTTCCGCCTCCTAACATATGATTGTTGAATTTATTTATCTTGACCTGTGTGATTCGACCGACCATTTTATTTCTTTCACCTTACCCACACTTACGATGTAGAAGTTTCGAAATATTTCATTTCATTTGAATTGTTTAAGATGTCCTTGCTGGTCAAATGCACATTGTGATAGTTAAGGTCAATACTTAGAAAGAGGAGATATGTAGGCTGAAGTGTCTCGGGTTGCCGACCAGCAACCCACTCGCTGAATCTCGTAAACAACGATTCGCCTATTTACAGTATTTCCATCGTGTGTTGCCTGAAAACTTGACCATTCCACTATTGTCATGTAGAAATAGAACACATCAACTTATAATATGAGTGAAACTGAATTAGACTAGAAACTACTTGCAACTCACTACACCATGGGTGGGTGCGAAAGTGACCAACAGGTCGGATTAAGACGCCATCAAACCAGCCTAAATTGTAAACAAACATTATCACGTAAATTCAGTATGTTTTGCTGAATAAGTAGAAAAGTGGCTATGTAAAATACGCATACGCATAAACAACTATCTTCACTATTCCGATCTTGATTGGAACCGATTGCAACGAAGTGAAACACGTCTCATGATGATTAACTCTACAAAGTTAACAGAAAATCGTCGAACGCTTTTTACGATCTAGAAGAGAAAGGTTCATTCGACTATGATTTGATTTGCTCGGTGATCATAAGGGAAGATTAAACTTGCCATCACACGAACAGCGCGTAAGGAAAACCGTCAGTTCGTACCTTTATAGAAACACATCGACGTTATCGACATGACGACAATAGTGATCGAATCTAACAGCACGTCCACAATCTCCATCGGAAAAGACAACAAACACGAAGAAGTCAGTAGAATGTGAAACATCCAGTCAATGTGGACGATATCGTGTAGGTGTCATCTAATGAACATGACGTTCAGAGAATCGTTATCACAGCAAACACAGAACTAAGGCAAGATACAGTTGAAAGCCTCACATACTCAGCACGATTGGGTCATAGATGATGGAAGACGATAGGAAATCGTTGATGTGGGATTAAGTATATTTAATGGTTAGACAAATGAGTAGAATAGTACAACTGGAGATGATATGGTGTATGTGAATTGTGATGATGTGAAGAGGAATTTGGAGAAGTCGTTGATACTGAGATATGAGAATTGTTCTGAGTCAAATGCAGATCCATCTCGGTTCAATGTTTCAATAGTACCAATAGTACTGTCCAATGTCTGGACGAGGAACTCCTGGATACCAGTGTTGACCAACATTTCGGTTTCTCATTTCGAGATAGCGCTCAGGTGTATAATTTGGAGGATTGGGGTTGTCAATATTATGGTTTTCAGGTCGCAGTTGTGAGTTTGAAGAATCTAAATTTCTGGCATGCTCAAAGTTGAATTTATCATCTTCGTCATCGATGAAAACTATATTGGGTTTGGAGCCGTCCACACCTACAGAACAAAAAATAATCATATTATTAGAGAAACGCTGAGGAATGCAGTCTGTAGTCACTCGGCCTAATCGAACTCTATCTGTATGTGAGTGTGCACAATGTAACACAATTTCAATCACTGTTCAACCGCACACTTGTTTACTGCAGCTCTGTCCAGTGGTCAGTCGACTCAATGAACAGACGACTGTTGATAATATCCGATCATCCAAGTGGAACCGAAGCAATCTGAAACAGTAGGTCATTAGAGTAACCACAATCAACTGCTAATGCTGCAAAACACTTTGTCTCGGTGAACATACGAATTCACAACCACACATTGGATACTAGTCGCTCTTAACGAGTACCTTCGTCTTGTTATCCGACTCTAGAAACGTCAATCACTCGGTCTCATTGGACATGTTCAGATACTAGGATATAACAACATATGGATAAATTGAGACTGACGAGTTCACTGGTCTTGTGCTTACCATCACGACTGTCGGTGAAACACACACACGTACCTTGATTATATTGAACGGCAGAGTTGAATGGCATTGGTTTGGTCAGTAGTTGTTCGAAGAGGAAGACATTGAGTAGTAGTAGTAAGAAGACGAGTCTCATGACAGTTCTGTAAGAAGAAGAAGAAGAAGAATGCAGATTAGTGAGCGACAGTTGTGTGTTGCGTGATTGTCGCGAGTCAACTGGATGCCACGTGTGAAGTGAGATGTTGTGTGTTGTTGTGTTGTGTAGTGGAGTGTGCTGTAGTGTGGTGATGTGCGGAGTAGTGTTGTGTTTTGATATGGATACACTGCGACTCAGTGCAATTCCATGACTTACTTCACTCACCAATCGTTGTTCACTCAACCACTTCAATCAGAATACATGGTGTTTCACAATTATTTATATGGTGAGAGATATTCGGAACATGGAGGATTACAGTTGAAAGTCACGTGACACAATCACTGAAACGGATGTTCATGAACACTGAAACAGTCACGTTGCGCACGTGTTCCACTGTGCTCCAGTGACACGCGAATGTGACGATTTGCAGCTGTTCATGCTGAACGTGAGTAGGTTGTGATGAATAAATCCATGTTTCATGCCAATCAGCAATGATCACATGTACAATGTGTGGATGAATTGATTTGGAGATGGTTATGAGAGATGAGTTTGAACACGTGAAGTGTTCCATACTTGAGAATCAACTGGTGAATGTGATGTTACTGATTACTTCGGAGTGATGATCTGTTATTCGGAATTGTGTTGCATGTGCGTGCCGAGTACCTCCACTTGTGTCCATCACCGTTTCACAATGTTTCTTCGTTCTTGTTTAGTGAATCGGTATCCAGTACGAATCACATGTTATGTGACCCACAATTCTATCAAATTATTCCGGGTGAAGATCACATCTTTGCATTTCTAGTTGTGATTGTAAGTATATTCTGCTGTCATTCGATTATCCACCTTTTCATTCACTCATTTTTCAAATGATGGTTGCTGAAATGTGCATAATGTCTAGTCTGTCGACCGTCATGAGCACACTTCCCTCATTCGATCACATTTTTGAAAACCTTTTATCATGCGGTAATTAACTGAAATTCAACGCGTGTTTGTTCGAGACGAGACTGCGTGTTGTTATACAACTGACAATAAATCTATAACATCATCACATATATGCTTGATCTCTGTTTTGCAGTGTGTTTATTTGTGTTTGACTGAATTTTCAACCAATCAATCAAATCGACATCGTGATCTATAACTTCAGTGTAATCCGACACAATGGGAGATGGCAAAAAAGTGAAAATGCAACAAAGAAGTACAGAGTTGTTCAAATCACTGAACAACATCTTAGTTAACTGATCGAATCTCACCATCCTCGAAATACTATTCATTAAGCAATTATTAGTGTTGGTGCCACATACGACGCATTATGATAGTCTCCCTGTCCTGCGCTTATGATAACTGGAAGCATTCAAATTTATTTTCAACTTAAATTCTCCAAAATAGTTCAATTCAATATAGATGCAATATCGTCCACATTGACTGGATGTTTCTCATGCTACTGATTTTCTCGTATTCGTCGTCTTGTCTGATAGCGATTGCACACATGTTGGTTGATTGCAAAATTGTCAAATTCATGTTTTATGACATCAATGTTAGTGGGATTTTCGATTCGCAAATGCCTCACAGTAGTTTCGACTGCAATAATTTAGGGAGTTAAATGAATGATCATTATTATTTGAACACTTATACATTGGTAATACGAGGCGTCCAATGCATATGCACCACAATGATTTTGCTCAGAGATAAAAAATAATTTCCAATGCACGCAGCAAAATGAAGAGAGAAGACGGACAGAAATTGGTGTACGTGAGTGAAATATTATTGATGATAATAAAAATAATAACAATAATAATAGTAATTGTGATGGGAGTAGCAATTTATTTAGCAAAAATATAACCAGTTATTGAGCATAAACGAACGTATCATAATTAGAATTCAAAATCAGTCAGACATGCATTATAAAGGAACCATTGGTCCACACAAACGTCATATTTTCGCCAATGCACTCTCAAAGCTCCTAGATCAGTGATCGATGGTCAGCAATCGGTGATGAGGAATTCACAACTTATAATTGAAGATTTATCATTCCGGATCCGCAAATTGCAACACTGATGATTAGGATGTTTGCTGCATGTAATTCTCGAAATAGAAACTGAAATAGCTTTAGTTATAGAATTGGTACATCAACTTCCCTATTGAAACGGCGGATTTGACACTACCAGTTTCAACAATAAAATCATGAAAAGCATCACTGGACAAATATTATCATTTTCGAACATGAAGTGAACTACTGAAAGTAGTCAATAAAGGTAATACGTGATCATTAGAAACACAGAAACGAATAGGATGCGAGTTATAGAGTTTAGAATTTCTTGCGGTGAAATGAACAGTAGTTTAACAAACCGACCGGATGTGTCACATCTCACCACACCTGGGGCATATAACATGAAGAAATGAACACAAATTACGAAATTAAACTTTGCCACATGACAAACATTTACCAAACTTGTGCTTACATTTGTTCACTGCTTTGCAATTCTTCAATGAATCACTTCTCAGGTTTTGCGAGAACGGAAAATACCGTTGATTAAACGTCTGTTCATGTGACATGGACTACAGATTGGATTAGAACAGCCAAGTAATGTACTAGTATGCTAGGATAGTAGATGTCGTGGAAGTCAATTTCATGCACTGCCTCATAACTAATACATGCAGTCCTACCATTTTGGAAGTAACACTTCGCGATTTGTATAATCTCAACTTCCAGACATCGTAATTTACTTCCTGCGATGAGTTGGTCACTCAGCTGGACACGAAGTAGATCACCCGCGTCACACTTGGCCGCTTGTTACTGCCATTCCAGGATAAATTCTCTGGTATTTTGTTTTAAAATTAATGAAACACTGCTGGCCCTGTCTAGCTCTGAAAATAAACCTCAGCTAGTACAAAATTATGGTCTACGTGATATTAGTCGAGAAAGCTATGGGGATTAATATTCAGAAAATAACTGGTGCAACACGATGAACTCAATTGTACTAAATGTTACTCAAAATAATCACGATACAGAAATTTATATTGAACCAACTTATCCAATTTGTAATGACTATACCAGATTTTGGTTCTCATAATAATACACATAATTGTGATGAAATTTCTTATAAAAATGAGGAAAATATGTCGGCTGAGTCAAATGATGGTCAAAAATCTAATTTAATTATGTTAGATGTTGATTTTCCTAATGACCCATTATCCACTAATGAGATTCCTAATGAATTTGAAAATAATACTTCTGAAGAACCAAACTCTGACCTCAAATCAAAGGTCATTTCTAGTGGATTCTCCATTCAATGTGAGAAACATGGTTTAGATAAAGTCCTATTAATTGTAAATTGGAGATATAGGGATCCGACATTGTTTCGCGGAGAAGGAGGATGTTGAAGAATTTGAAGTTACACATAGATTTTTAAATCAGAATCTAGACTTGGAATCTTCAAAAAAAGGGGGAGGTGTTATATCCGAGCGAAGATTGAATCACGGGTAACTTCTGAGACATATTAATTGGCTATTATCATCTATACATTCTTATGGTATAACTATTCAATAATTAGATTACATATATTTATATTCCCCTTATTATAAGCTTTATTTTGATCTGTAATTTATTATTGTACGGTTTACTGTTCTTAAGCTATGTTCAGTTTGTTGACTACTGCCTCTCACGTTCACAGTCACTTTTTGGCTTTATTGTGTACAAATGTTATTTCCTATTTTATGGTGCGTTGCGGTCTGTTTGGTTGATATATAAACCCAGTAAGTCTGAAATAAACGATTCAATTCGCATAGTGGAAGCTGGTATTGGTGTTTTGGACTCAAGTGGACGGACTAGGCGGACATAGGAACAATAGGGACGCTAGGCTGCTCATACCGGTCGAACGCAATTGGTGTTGAAACAGTGCTAAGTTTGAATAAGTCGTATTTTGATTGGTGGATAAAACACTTGATAACGAGCCGTACATGAAGTCAAAACAGTTCTGAACAATAATAAAATAGAAATTTTCACCTTCACGTCATTCAAATATTGAACATTTTACAGAATGTACTGACAGTAATGTGGGAGATTCTGTGATTAACAGAAGTGGAAGTACTCGACACGCACATGCAACACAATTCCGAATAACAGATCATCACTCCGAAGTAATCAGTAACATCACATTCACCAGTTGATTCTCAAGTATGGAACACTTCACGTGTTCAAACTCATCTCTCATAACCATCTCCAAATCAATTCATCCACACATTGTACATGTGATCATTGCTGATTGGCATGAAACATGGATTTATTCATCACAACCTACTCACGTTCAGCATGAACAGCTGCAAATCGTCACATTCGCGTGTCACTGGAGCACAGTGGAACACGTGCGCAACGTGACTGTTTCAGTGTTCATGAACATCCGTTTCAGTGATTGTGTCACGTGACTTTCAACTGTAATCCTCCATGTTCCGAATATCTCTCACCATATAAATAATTGTGAAACACCATGTATTCTGATTGAAGTGGTTGAGTGAACAACGATTGGTGAGTGAAGTAAGTCATGGAATTGCACTGAGTCGCAGTGTATCCATATCAAAACACAACACTACTCCGCACATCACCACACTACAGCACACTCCACTACACAACACAACAACACACAACATCTCACTTCACACGTGGCATCCAGTTGACTCGCGACAATCACGCAACACACAACTGTCGCTCACTAATCTGCATTCTTCTTCTTCTTCTTCTTACAGAACTGTCATGAGACTCGTCTTCTTACTACTACTACTCAATGTCTTCCTCTTCGAACAACTACTGACCAAACCAATGCCATTCAACTCTGCCGTTCAATATAATCAAGGTACGTGTGTGTGTGTTTCACCGACAGTCGTGATGGTAAGCACAAGACCAGTGAACTCGTCAGCCTCAATTTATCCATATGTTGTTA